GGGAGGGAGAGAGAGAGAGAGAGAGAGAGAGAGAGAGAGAGAGAGAGAGAGAGAGAGAGAGAAGGAAAGAGAGACTATTTGCGTGTCTTACATATGTCCTCCGGGGTGAAGCCCGGGTAACCAGCTAGTTTATTATATATATTAGGGTGGTCCTTATTTTTCGACTTTTAAACTTATTATGCGGCATCTCCCAGAATGTTTCCAATTCGCAAAAAAATAATCCCTGCCAAAGCTTAGCTCGATCGGATAACAAAAACTCGTGCCCCCGGATTTTTAAACATTTGATTTGAGTTTTCTTGTATTAAACTGTTTGTTTCATCGACATTGGTTTTTAAAGCGTATTTTCCACAAAAATCGGTCTAGCATTTTTCTTTTTTTAACATGTACGTGTGTCTTGCTTTTCTGCATCGTTTGAGATCTTATACGTGTCTCATTTAAACAATTAGGTAAATTGTTAACAACTAAAAAATAAAAATAAATAGTTATTGTATTTATTGCTTGATTAGCTGGAAAAAATTATGTATGGGTTACAAAAGTTATAGTAGTATGTTTAGAGTCAAAAGAAGAACAAAAATTAAAAGATTACTCTATTACTCTATATAAAATAATCAGTTGTAAAACTTTAAACGCGTTTTTCTCGAAAATAATTTTTACAATATTATAAATTGGGGAACTTAACGGATAAAATAAATAAAAAATATATATTTTTAATAATCAAAAATATATATTTTTGATTTATTTTATGATTATTTTTTATTTTAATTTTTTTTATTTTTATTTTCAAATAAATCTGATTGCTATTTTCACAGATACGTACGTACGTGTTTTTTTTTTCATTAACTATATGACTTAAGGAGGTTCTACAGATAATGGATGTATCTAAAAATTGGAAAAAACTTTATGGACGTATAAATTGAGATGCGAAAAAAGTGCTCGAAAAATTTTAGCATCGGTTACCGTGTAAAAATGTGCAAAAATGAATTTTGAAATCACAGTTTTTAACATAAGCTACATATGGCAGAGGGGCTCTTGGAGACAGGAAACGAGATATTAATTATATAAAGGCGACCTACCAAAGATTCAAAAAACGGAGCTCTTATAGATCTTAATCTAACCTTTTCAGAAATATCGAGAAAAACAAGGGTTATCGCGTAAAATTTTGTGATATTGGCTACTGAAACAGGCCATATCACAGTTCACGTAGCGTGCTTCGAATAACAAGGGAGATTTGGCAATGTCGCAACGACTGCACCCGCGCGAAAAGTGTACAGCCAGTACAGCGTACAGCACCACAGTATGACAGCACCTCAAACTTAAGCACCTAACGTTTACGAGCGCTTACGGAGAAGTACTCGCTCTAGAATTATGTGAAATTGTGAAATAACCACGGTCATATGAGCAGAACTGTCAAGTTCGCGACGTTACCACATTTTCTTCCATTATAAGCCGCCAGAGTCAAAGGAGCACTTACACGATATTTTTAATTATTCCTCGTTTTGACTAATATGGGTATGATATAAGCTCTAACGTCATCAAAATTCACGAAAATATTTTATGAATACTTAGAATCGACGAATTTGAAGATTTTCTCTTCATCTCTCAACTGACTAGAGAGTACCTGTAGAACCTCCTTTTCCCAATTTATAATATTCCATTAAAAAAAAAGTAATTCAATAATAAAAATAAGTAAAAATCCAATTAAAAAATAGTAAATATTCGAACTTCCTTTTTATCTATAGATCGAAATTTCAGGATGGCTGTCTATAAGTTTATCAGATTTTTTGATAGCCATTGGAAGAGTCTATAAAAATTATTTTCGAAAAAAATGAAGAAAAAATCCCTTAAAAAATCGAAGTTATTGAAATCCCATCTTTATCAAAGATATAATATTTATATTGATCGTTACGCGAGCAAAACATATTGATGTAATAAAATTAGCTTTTAAATAGAAAATTTTACTATATTAATCTTTGATGAAGAATTAAAAAAGGATCAATTAGAGAGAATACGATTTGCGATCCGGGCTGAATCTTAAGTAGTCCAATAATAATATTTCTTTGTTAATTTTGTATACTTTTTTCCAAACTCAGTAAACTGCGCGCCGATATTTTATCGGTTGTTAACACAGCTCTTTGTTAGAACAGTAAATCCACATATACTTAAGTCAATAAATCGATTTAACTTTTTGATGCTAATAATAAGTATCCTTATTAAATCACTATGAAAAAATAAAGAGATAGCTTCTTTAGAGCTAGATGAGAACTAGATGTGAAAAATATAGCAAAACTAAAAATTTTCAACAGAATATAAATATTTTTCTAAATTTAGAATTTTTTTAGTTGAAATAATCTTCTCTTTACCTTGCTCAAATGCCGAAACCAAAAGATTTTTCTGTTGTATCTATAAATCTTGAAATTGATCCGAGACATTTAGAACCGCGCATAATGCGCAATAAATAAGAATTGAACAAATCTGATAGTGCTTAATTTTTGTAGATTCACACATCTAGTCAATATATCTTCTTTATGTACACATATTATTTATTATTATTAACTATTGGTCTGTTTTCCAAAATTTATTTTTCATATATTATATAGTTTAACTAGCTTTTTCGCTCGCGCTTCGCGCGGACTCAAGGGCTCTTCCTTTTTTTCCTCGAATAGTAATATTTACCCCCTAAAATTTTTTTTTTTAAAGGGACTTTTTTTAAACAATTTTGTATGGAGGCCCCTTGTCCCCGGGCTCAGACCCCTTCACAAAACCCTCTACGGTCTAAGTTAGAGTATCATGAGATAGTATACCAAATTTAGTTGTTCTATTTGTGAAAACTAAAACTGTGATCGATAGAATAATAATATCACAAATTAAATTAATCATCAAATTCTAAACGTAACTGATGCTAATAAATAACATTCTTTCCCAGCAGACCTTTTCCCCTCGCTTTGACCCCTTCCCAAAACTCTCTACGGGCTAATTTATTAGACAATAGACGATGTTTTTTTGCCGAATAGTAATATTTACCTCCAAAAAAAATTTTTTTTTAAAAGGGACCTTTTTTAGACAATTTTGTATGAGGGCCCTTTTTTTTATTTTTCTTTATTTTTTTTTATTTTTTCATATTAATTTATTCTTTATCGACACCATCCCTGAAAAATTAGACAAATTTTGGCACCTGTTTTCAAAAAAATCGATTCATTTATAAAGGAGTATTTCGCGGTTTAAAAAATTTTTTAAAAATTTGGCACCGGTTTCAAGAAAATCGGTCCATTAATGAAAAATTAAACCGATCGATACCATCCCCGACAAATTAGACAAATTTTGGCATCGGTTTCCAGAAAATCGACGACTTTATTTGTGTTATTACATTTGTGTTCTAGCTAGTCTTACGTCCACCAATATACCTATGATTCATAAACACATATTTTCAATAACTTTCCACATCACACATGATCGCCTCACCAAATTCAATAACAACCTTCCTTAAATGATAGGTACTCTATCCATCAAATAACTTATACATTTTTAGGCATAAATCGGTATCCCCTTCAACGATGTTAGTACCAATGAATGTACAATGCGAATGCTGGTAACAAATTTTTATTAAATGATAGGAGTACAATTATTCGAGCACGATGCGTACCGGTCGCGCGTACCGCGAAAGGCGGGCACTTGTCATTTTGTAAATCGTTTGTACAGTTCACGCGTTTCGGACATCAACCTTACTTAGAGGCACTCCACGTTTCAGTATAATTTATGCGCAATAAAGAATTAAATAATAGTTAGTGACTGGGCAAACTCCGAGTGATCGATATACTTGGCGGTTGTTAGAGCGACTGACTGCCGCGGTCTCGTGTACCGCGGATTCGGGTATCTCCCCTTCCAGGTTCGACAGTTTACCTCGAGGCTCACGCGTGATGCGGCCGTGCGGCACGAATCATTACAAATACATATACATCCCGCCCACCATTAATAACAATTAATCCTAACGCTTGATTGCAGATATCGCAGGCAACGCATCGGTTAACGGGAGTCTACACAATTTGTTTACGCTACGCTTACAAATTCCACTAGCAGTTTTAAGGGTCGCAACACGCACCCTTTCGTCGGTACCCTCGTAAACCTGGATTACTTTTCCTAATTTCCACCTTAATGGCGGCGCATTGTTATCTTGTATCAAGACAACATCGTTAATGGCTAAATTGTCTCGCTCAGACGTCCATTTCGTTCTGCCTTGCAGTGACGTCAAATATTCTCGGCTCCATCGCTTCCAAAAATCTTGCGCGATTCTCTGAACCGCTTGCCAGCGATCGAGTCGATTTAAAGGAATGTCGATTACGTCAGCATCTGGAAGAGCGATCATTAAATCACCTGTTAAAAAATGTCCCGGTGTTAGGGGTTGTAAATCGTCTGCCGTGGACGGCAACTGACAAATCGGACGCGAGTTCAGACATGCTTCAATTTGTATCAACACGGTAGCCAATTCTTCAAACGTCAGAAGACTTTCTCCAATAACGCGTTTCAAATGAAATTTGCATGATTTTACCCCAGCTTCCCACAATCCCCCCATGTGAGGTGACGATGGTGGGATAAACTTCCACTCTATGTTATGTGAAATGCAAAACTCGTTTCAAACTCGTTTCTTACAGTGCCAGACTAGAGTCAAGCTCAACAGGGTCTTCTTTCCCCGCTAATTTTTCCAAGCCCGTTCCCTTGGCAGTGGTTTCGCTAGATAGTAGATAGGGACAGTGGGAATCTCGTTAATCCATTCATGCGCGTCACTAATTAGATGACGAGGCATTTGGCTACTGTTAAGAGAGTCATAGTTACTCCCGCCGTTTACCCGCGCTTGCTTGAATTTCTTCACGTTGACATTCAGAGCACTGGGCTAGAAATCACATTGCGTCTGGCTTCCCATTTACGTCTGGCTTCCCATTTTTGAGTAGACGATATATCTCACGGAGCTCATTCTTGGATCCTACAAAATTAGTAGCGTTGTCACAATAAATGCGCTGCGGACAACCTCGACGTCCCACAAAGCGTCTAAGCGCTGCCAGAAAGGAAGCCGTGCTAAGATCACTGACCGCCTCAAGATGGACGGCAGTTGTTGAGAAGCATACAAATAAGGATATGTAAGACTTGTTGGTTTTTCTTCCGCGGCCTCGATTAACCAATGTAGTAATAGGCCCGGCAAAATCTACGCCAATTACGAAAAATGGACGAGTCGGGGTGACTCGATCTGCGGGCAACTGACCCATGATCTGCGATAATGGTTTCGGCTTGTTGCGGAAACAAGTTATGCAATCATGTGTGATTTTTCTGGCGATGATTTTCCCTTTGAAAGGCCAATATTTTTCTCGAATAGAATACAACAATGCCTGTGGACCTATATGCAATAGTCTACGATATTCCTTTTTGAACAACAACCTCGTAAATCTACTATCGGATGGTAGAATGATTGGATGTTTCTTCTCAAAGGCCACGTGAGAGTTTTGAATTCTGCCGCCCACCCTGAGAAGTCCTCTCTCATCCACAAACGGATTAAGCGACAATAATTTGCTACTAGATCGAATTTGTTTCCCCGACATTAGGCTTGACATTTCCTCGGAAAAATGAACTCTCTGCACCGCTACAATCAATAACTGATGCGCGCGGCGAATCTCGTCAATTGTCAGAGAATCTAAATTACGATTGTCGCGATTCCTCCTAACATTGAAGCCGAATCGAACGATTCAAGCCAGAATGCGTTCGATCCTTGACAGTGAAGAGTATTTATTTAATAAGAACTCCGCAACGTCATTTGAAATGCCAACGCTCACGAAGACTCGCGTACTGGAAACCTGTTCTGCCCGAATGGTTTTCTCGTCTTCCTCGGTAAGACTCAGCGTTTTCATCTTACGTAGCTCGCAATCATCGGAACGTGACAACCAATCGGGGCCCTCCCACCAGATTTTGCTCTGCCTCAAAATTTTCAAGCTTGTACCCCTCGAAATCAAATCTGCAGGGTTCTCGTTTCCGTTCACATGGTGCCAATGTCTCGACGGAAGAATGGACTGAATCTCAGCAGTTCGATTCGATATAAATAACTTCTGACACGATGGATCGCCGGCGATCCACGCCAGTACTATCTTAGAGTCGCTCCATGCGTGCTCCTCATCGAACTTTATCCTGAGAGCCTTCTTAACGCCTTGCACCAAATGTACAAGCACCACAGCACCGCATAGCTCGAGCCTAGGCAGCGTGATAGTCCTACTTTTAACCGGTGCAACGCGTGCCTTTGAACATAATAAGAAAGAATTAAAATGGCCGTCTTCGTCTATTGTTTGCAAGTAAATACAAGCCCCGTAGGCCCTCAAAGATGCGTCGCAAAATGCATGTAGAATGAAGCGCACCACATTGGAACTCCGAATTACTCTACGAGGTACTTGGATCGTACTAACCTCTCGTAAATCTTCCGTATAAGCCTCCCATGCCTGACGAAGATCCTCCGTCAACGGCTCATCCCAACCCAGACTCGCTAACCAAGTCCCTTGCATGATCAACTTAGCTCGAGTCAAAATGGGTCCGATCAATCCGAGTGGATCGAACAATTTAGAAATCATTGACAAAACCTCGCGCTTGGTCTTAACTGAACTCGTTATAGGCTCGATGGAAAACTGAAACATGTCTGATTTGGGATGCCAACCCAATCCCAATGTCTTTACGGCACTTGCGTCAATCTCCAACACCGACGACTCCTCGACTCGATCGACGGCAAGCGGCTCAGGTACAACTCCCTCACGATTTGAGCGCCATTTGTGAGTCTCAAAACCCCCTTCGCGTAACAGACTCTCCAATTGTGAGACTACTTTAATAGCTTCGGGTTCGCTATCAGCTCCTGTAATAATATCGTCAACATAAGAATCCTCTAGTAGAATTCGCGACGCTAGTTCAAACCGGCTAGCCCCGTCTTTGGCTTGCTGTTGCACGGAGCTAATGGCTTGATGCGAAGCGCTAGTTTGACCATAAGTCACGGTATTCAACCTATAGTCATCTACCGGATCAATCGGGGAAAAACGCCATAGAATTCTCTGATAATCGCGGTCGTCCTCGTGTACTAAAACCTGGCGATACATTTTTCGCAAGTCAGCCGTGATCGCAACGGCGTGCAAACGAAATCGCAACATTATGTTAATTATGCTATCCTGTAAATTCGGTCCCTTCATCAACGTATCGTTCAATGAAATACCCGAGGTGGTCTTCGAGGACGCATTGAATACCACTCGCAGCTTAGTAGTTGTGCTTGATTCACGAAGAACGCCATGGTGCGGCAAATAGACTGGATTTGGTATTCGAGCGTCCCCGGTGACCTTAGACATATGATTCAAATCGATATATTCCCGCATAAACTCGGAATACAATTTGTATAATTCCGGTTCCCGTTGAAATTTCCGTTCCAAACAAATTAAACGCTTCATCGCGATGTCTCTCGATTGTCCGAGCTGAGCCCTGTTTTCGCGGAAAGGCAGTCGAACGACAAACCGCCCGGACGCGTCTCGCTTTGTTGTGTTTGCGAAATGATTCTCGCAGTACTGTTCTTCTGTAACCAAACATACATGATTATTTGAAGGTTGGTGATTGGTCGTCCGACTCGCGATCAAATGTTGTGGTACTGGGCCCGACACAATCCAACCGAGCTTAGTGTTTTGTAATGCCGGCAAACCATTCCCGAGTTCAATTTTACCGGCTTCCAACAATTGAAGGAAGAATTCTCCGCCTATGAGCGCGTCAATATGACCTGGATTGTAAAAGAACGGGTCTGCCAATTTTAGATTTTCTGGAATCGACAATTTTGATATCTTAATGGAAAACGAAGGCAAATTTTTGGTTATTTTCGGGACAACCAAACAACAAAGGCTCAACTCGAACTTCGACATTCGCGATTTCATCGAAATTTGACAACCGTATTTTATCGCGCAACTCATATTATTTAGACCGTTTATGGATTCGCATACGCTTTCTAATTTTATGTTCAATCTATTGCACGCTGCTAAAGTAATAAAGTTGACTTCGCTCGCACTATCCAATAATACACGCAATTGATTATCATTATTATTTGATTCGATATTTACAATAGCCGTTGACATCAGTACTTGCTTACGCTCGCCTCGGGCGTGTTGAACCGACATGTTCCCCGATGACTCGTTGTTACTGGTTGATGCTCCCATCTCCGTGTCCGCCACAGAGCACAGCGTGGTCCCGGATGACTTCCTCGAACGGTCCGCCGAACCACCTGCCGAATCCGCTGACGAACAGGATGCCCGCTTCACGATGTGGCATAGCGTGTTGTGCCGCTCACCACATTCTCGACATGAACCGGACCTGCAATCTCTCGAAAAATGATCATTTCTAAGACAATTGAGACAAAGTCTCAATCGCTTAATTTTCCGGATTCTATCCTCAACGGATAAGCCCAGAAATTGTTTGCACGAATAAATAAGGTGCTGGCCTTGGCACAGGTAACACCGTCGCTCCTGTGTGATTGTTGACAGTGTCGTTTTGCCTTGTGCCTTTGAATTCAACGATCGCTGCTTACTCGTTTTGTCCTTCTCGCGAATGTCGTCCTTTGCCTTGTTGACGCTTTCGCTGTCCGAAGTCGCTCGCCGCAACAGCTGACATTGCCGCTGCAAAAACTCGATCATCACGCTTGTCGTCACACCGTCCCTTTGCTCGATATGTGCTCCTCCCAACGTCTTCTTGTCGCGTTGTCCAAATTCTTCTCGATCAAATAAATAATTAGATCTCCCCATGACTCGGTAGGGAGTCCCATTGCTTGTAAAACTCGCAAATGTTTTTGAATATGATCCACTAAATCTTGGATCGCACTGGCTGATTCTCGTTTCACCAATGGTAGCTCGAACAAACAATGTATGTGCCGCTTCCGAATGCCTCGCTCGTCATCGTATCTTTTCTTCAACAAATCCCAAGCGATGGCGTAATTGTTCTCGGAAATGTCTATCGACTCGATTATTTTAGCGGCTTGGCCGCTCAACGAACCAACCAAATATTGATGCTTCTGCACATTAGTCAGATCGCTGTCGTGTATCAACGTTTTGAATGTGTCGGAGTATCGCTTCCACTCTTCCATATTTCCGTCAAACGACGGCAACTGGATTACTGGCAATTTTACGTGAGGTTCTCGTGCGGGCGTGTTAGACCTCGTACTTAATCTTTCTAGCAATTGATTTTGTTGTTCTATTATTCGTGCCAACGCACTGCCGTCGCTTTCAACCGACCGCTCGGCCATTCTCTGAATCAACGTTGTCTGCTGCTCCAGAACTTGCATCACGCCTGTATCACTGTTCGAAGTCGATGCACTTGTAGAAGGGCCTGTGGACGGCGGTTTGATCCTTTCCGCCAACTGCAGCAGAGCGGCTTTGGTCGAAAAGTATCGCTCATCAAACTCGCTTTCCTCCACTTCATCTCTTTGCTGGTATTCCTCCTCAGGTAGCAGCAATAGGAGGTTCTGCGCTACAGCCTGGAATTTCAAATGCGTATCCTCCAACGCTTGAAGGCGGGCCGTAATTTCTCCCGGTAGCACGTTCTCCGCATCTTTCTCAGCCTTGATGATGAAGTTTCTTATGTTCGTTATTTTTCCCTTTAACACGCTTCTTTGCTTGCGGAGATTTTCGACGCTCATCTTCCTCGTTGTACGTGCACGACAAACTGACTATTATACTTGTCTTCTGTCCCGACGAGGGCCAGAAAGAGGAAAGGATGAGGTGAAAACACGATCACGTGAACTCGAACTGACACTCGGAGCTCAGCGAGGTCGACCGAACGTCTCTCGGTTAACGATTGTTTCTCGAAGGCTCTCGAAGCTTCTTGAAAGTTTATAATGTCTGCCGAACGCACTAAATGTTCACTCGTTTTTAATGCACCTTTTGTTACTTCGGCGCGCGCTAAGACCGGCAGCTCCTCGCCGACCGCAACCGCGTGCTTCGGAACGTGCACCCTATCCGGCTCGAAGGACCATGTTAGTACCAATGAATGTACAATGCGAATGCTGGTAACAAATTTTTATTAAATGATAAGAGTACAATTATTCGAGCACGATGCGTACCGGTCGCGCGTACCGCGAAAGGCGGGCACTTGTCATTTTGTAAATCGTTTGTACAGTTCACGCGTTTCGGACATCAACCTTACTTAGAGGCACTCCACGTTTCAGTATAATTTATGCGCAATAAAGAATTAAATAATAGTTAGTGACTGGGCAAACTCCGAGTGATCGATATACTTGGCGGTTGTTAGAGCGACTGACTGCCGCGGTCTCGTGTACCGCGGATTCGGGTATCTCCCCTTCCAGGTTCGACAGTTTACCTCGAGGCTCACGCGTGATGCGGCCGTGCGGCACGAATCATTACAAATACATATACAAACGATCCTCGCCAAATTTAAAACAACCTTCCTTTAATGCCCCTACAGCACGAAATATTGCAGCAACTTGCAAATATTGCAATATTGCTGCAAGTTGCTGCAATATATTTCGTGCTATAGGGGTGATACTCTATATAAGATATGACATGTATAACTTATACACTTTTTAGGCAAAAATCGACAACCCTTTCACCGATTCTCGCCAAATTTAATATCAAATCGGCAACCTACCTTTAATAATAATACTCCATCCATAAAAAAAAAATTTAGCTTTATATCTCAAAATTTACGGAAATTAGAGCAATCACGTAGATTTTTTTTAACAGAAATCGGTAACCCCTTTATTATTAGCATTTTTTTAATTCTATTATATTCCTCAGTTTTTTCTACCCCTATTTCATATATAATACTTTAAGATTTGGTTGATTAGTTTTTAAGTTAATAACGTTCAAACATACACTACCCGTAAGAATTTTATATATGAGTACGACACCATCCCCAAAAAATTAGAAATTTTGGCACCGGTTTCCAGAAAATCGGTCCATTAATGAATGAGTAGTTCGCAGTCAGACAGACAGACAGATAAACACTATAAAAATTTTGGAACCAATTTCCCAAAAAATCAGTAATGATGCGGTTCTCAAAATACGTCTACGGTCTAAGTTAGAGTATCATGAGATAATATACTAAATTTGGTTCTTTTAATTCGAAAACTGTAGATTTGCATAGCGGACAAACCTGGACAAACATACATATATACATTCATTTTTATATATAGAGAGATATATAAAGATTAATTAATTGCATCTGATGTACTCTAACAATAAGTGTTTGTTTAAATTTATTAATATACAAAATTTTTATTTGTTTAATTATTATATTTTTTATTTCTATTACTATATATTTATCTATCCAAACATGTGTAGTCACAATTATAAATTATCTAAATTGTCTAAATTATTTCAGTCTAAATTATTTATTTAATATCTATAATATAGTATTAATATATTATAAATTTATGTATATAATATTTATAATCTTAAAATTATCAATCAAAAATATTATTTTACTTTTATTTAATTATATATATTAGTTTTTTTATAATTTAGTATATTAATAAGAGTTTTAATATATAAAATAAACGTTAAGACTTTTTTGTACTTTTATATAAACCAAGATATTGGAGTTTTATAAATGTTTCTTGAATTGTTTTATTTTATGAATATTGATTTGTGAAAATTTTCTTTATCCTTGCAATAAATGTTGGTATTTTATATATATTTCTACTAAATAAAATATTTTATTTTACGTCATAGGCTGCGGTCCACTTGACGCTACAAATGCTTCGAAGCATTCCTCTTCTCTTTTCTTTCAATGAAGAAAAAAGGAGAAGAAGAACGCTCCAAAGAATTTGTAGCGTCAAGTGGACCGCAGCCATAGTAGGCACGTTTGGAAGTATACATAATACGTTTGAGAGTCATTTTTACATTTTTCTCTTTTTTAGTTTTATCCTTTATTTTTTAAAATTAAATATATAGATTATACCAGAGAGAAACCTGAGAGAGGCCATCCCGGCGTTTTTCGTCAATTTT